ATTGATTTATCTAAGTTGTCCGCTGTCGTAGAATTTCAAACACGCCAAAAAGATAAATCGGACCCCGATTTTATTACCACCTCTACCCAGTGGCACCTCAACTTTAGTTGATGCGTCAAAAACCTAATTGATTCTCTTCAGCTTGCCTATCAGAACGTAAGAGGTCTTCCATCTAAATTCGTTAGCCTGTACTTAGATTCTCTATCATTTGATGTGATACCTTGTACTCTTTTTTTTATGTCTGCGTTCCTCTTGATCTCAAGTGAACTTTTAAGATTAAAAAATGTGAAGTCGAGGTGTTATAAAATGTTTAAGAAATCGGGAAATCACTCTGATTTTTCCCGCTATGCAGTTGCCCAATCAAATTTTTCTACTCAAAATTCCATCTGCTATAAGGATTACCTTCGCCGTTGTCGCCTCCAAATTTTCACATAATCCTAAGCAATTTTGTAATTTTGCCAATTCCAAACGAAAGACATATATTTTGTCACCTTCGGCTAAGTTAGCAGACGAGAGCGCGAACACTGATCCAGGCATTGCCGATCTGTTCGCAAACTGTTTTTACGCTACCTACTCCTTCTCTAGGTATAGTAAAAATCAGCCTTATCCTTATCAGTTACAGAGAACAAATTGCATCTTAAATCCTATTATTACAAAAAGTTCGCTTCTCAGCGACGTTAACACAATCAAGGCGGCTTACTGCTCAGGCCCTGATGGTGTTCCCGCCTGTTTGCCCAGGTACTGTGCTGCAGCACTATGTAAGCTTGTTTTAAAACTTTTTTATTTATTTTTTTATTTATTTATTTATTTATTAATGGTCGACAAAACGAGTGTCTTTCTAATTATTCAAAACATTATATATACAATTATGAAAATTAAATGCTAAAAGCCTTGTTAGAGAACACAAATTTCTAATAGCATCACCGACCGATGGATGTGTTTTATTTGCCAGTCCGGCCAGCTTTGCCCCTTTTCACAGCTAATTTTGTCAGTGACGCTTTAGAGCCTACATTAAAAAAGAAGGGTGTAAGTAGGAAAAAAGTGTGCTTAAGTTAAATTAAAAATAATCTAAATTTGCTATATTATTTAAAAAAATACCATAAATAGGAGAAAAGAAAGTAAGAAGATTGTTAATAAAGTAAAGAACTGTATGCTAGATATATAGAGTGTTAAGTAGATAGGATAAAGAGATAGTATTGGGAAAGTAATGGGGGAAACTTTGCAGCCTGTCCGGAAAACTATGCCCCTGCTCATAGCTGGGAATGGTCAGTGACTTCCCGAAGGTATCGTGAAAGCAACGATTTTATTAGGGGTAGAGAAAGTTCGGTAGAGAAAACATGATGCAAACTATTGTAATTTTTACATAGCACGCAAAAACGATTGTGCATAGCGTAGTCTGTTGTGCACGTCGATAGGAGTAAGGGGCGATTATTTCTGGTTGGTCTAGCCGGAACAGAGAATTGAAGACGCCCTAGCAGAAAAGGAAAATCTATATCGCCAACAATCAACTTATGTAGAAAGACAACACCGAGAATTGTCCTACGCTTGGCTAACGACGGAGGATTAAGAAGAAGTAGCCTGCTGGAATTGGATGGCAACCGAAGATTAGGGTCCCAATTTAAACCTCGTAAGGCAAAAAGCAGAAAATGCTTCTGAACAGATTCAATACGATCCTGGCTATTGTTATACTGCGAAGACCAGATGCAAGAGCAGTATTCAAGGATAGGGCGAACAAGAGGGGTTTACAGAAGTTTCGTTATAAAAGGATCGTTAAACTCGTTAGACTATCGTTTAATGAATCCAAGTACACCCTTTGCCTCATTAACGATGGTATCTATGTGAAGATTGAAGCAGAGTTTAGAATCAAAAAGAACGCCTAGATCTTTAACTGTTAGTATACGTTGCAATGGAGTATTGTCGATTGTATAACTGACAAGAAAAGGCGTAGTACGGTTAAATGTCATAAGCATACACTTTGAACAATTCAGATGCTATTGATTGGCCGAACACCAAAGTTGCATAGCGTTCAAATCGTCTTGAAGACGAGAATGATGTAGGGGATCAGTGTATGATAGAACAAGTTTCATGTCCGTCCGCATACATGAGTACACGGGCATGTGATATAACAGAGGGGAGATCATTTATAAAAAGAGTAAAGAGTAAAGGTCCAAGATGACTACCTTGAGGAACACCAGAAGTAACGTGAAACTGTTTAGAGGTAGTCAGTCTCAGCATTACTCTTTGGGTCCTACCTTTTAAATAAGAACTAATCCAAAGCAAAAGAGACGGAGGGAATGCCCATTCGGTCAAGTTTAAAAACGCCTTACTGAAGTCCGTGTAAATGACATCAGTTTGCATTTTCGAAAGGAAAGCATCATTTACCAGGGAAGTAAACTCAAGCAGATTGGTCGTAGTTGACCGATTCTTTACGAATCCCTGTTGAACAGGGGAAACAACTGATTTGCAGAAATGCTGCAAATTCGAAGTGATTATTTTTTCAAATAATTTAGGAATAGCGGACAGTTTTGCAATGCCCCTGTAATTTTGTATATCAGACTTTCCACCTTTCTTGTGGAGAGGAATGATATAAGATTCATTCCACAGAGATGGAAAGCCAGAAAATCCAAGGGATAGATTTAAAAGCTTTAGCTATGGATGAACAAGGGAAGAACTACACTCCTTGAGTAGACAACTAGGAATATTGTCAGACCCAGGAGAGAAAGAAGATTTTAAGGAATTCGAAACTAAAAGGAGAGAGGAATGGAATATAATAGGAGGATATATAGAACTAGAGGAAGTAATAGTATAAGGGTAAGAATTTTTATTAGGACAGACTGAAGAGTAAGTTGATTGGAAAAAATTTGCAAAGAGGTTAGCAGAATCAGAGTCATTGCTAGCTTTATCCATCCCGAGAGAAAAATAAGATGTCTAACTTGAAGATTTACGCTCCAAGTTTACAAAATTGTAAAACTGTCTCGGATTTAGGGCAAATTGCCTTTTGCAACGAGTTAGATAATTCTCATAGCATTGAGAAGTCAGAAGAAAGAAGTTCGACTTGGCTATGGAATATTTAGCCAAGTCTGTACACGAACCAGACTTATTAAACTTTTTAAAATAATTAGACTTTACATTTTTTAGATTTCATAATCTGGGAGTAAACCAAGGTGGCTTTGAAGAAGTAGTCGAAGGAATTGACTTGGGAATACACATATCTAAGAGGGACTTTAGGGTGGTATAAAAAAAGTTAATAGCAGTATTCATATCATATTCATATCAACATATAAGAAAGACCAATCGGTTGCATAAATAAGTTGATTCAGCAATGGATAATTTCCTTTGCGAAAGCAACGGCGGGGCTTATTGGCTGATGAGCACGAAATGAGAGGATTACAATTGAACATTGCAACCTCTAAAGTAGGATGATATACATCCTCAGGAAGAGATAAAGGAGGGGACCTAGACACATTAGAAATAAGGTAGTCGTTAACAAATACAAGGTCAAGTGTTCTATGCAAATAATTAGAAACTGAATTGATTTGAAACAACGAAAGATCAAGCATCCAATCTATAAAGTCATGCTGTGCTGAGGGCACTAGATAATTTTCGGCAGTGAATAATGACCAAGAGATGTTCGGCAAATTAAAATCACCCAACACAATAAATAGGTCATTATCACGCACGTGTGAAGAAACTTCTTTAATACAAGAAATATGTTTCATATAAACTTCAATATCAGAAGAAGGAGGAACATAAGAGCATGTAATATAAATATTCCGTGTAGGAAAAGACAACTTGACTGAGACAATCTCAGCGTCAGTAGGCGCACTAAAACAGAAAAGTTCTGACTGGAGAGTGGCTTTAACGGCAATTAATACCCCACCACCTCGAGTCGGCCGATCATTTCTATGCAAAGTAAAACTGTTCGAAAAAACTTCAAAATCAGATATGGTTGAATTTAACCATGTTTCTGAAAATGCGATTATATCCGAATCGAAGGAAGTGCTGGCCATGAAAAGATTTTTAAGTTTGGAAATGAGACCTCTGACATTCTGATAATGAATAGAGCCTTGGTCAGAAGAAGAAGTTAGTTTTTTGGGGCAGAAATGGTACCCTGTATTGAAGGGACTGGAAGGGTGACAGGCTGGTTACGCTTTTTTGGCTTGAACTCGTGAACAATCATGTGTGGAGGCCAAAATTTGGGATCACAAATGATTGGGAACATATCATGTGAAACATTTATTTTGAATGATGATATTTCACGAGAAGTGGAGAAATTAAGTTTGGTAATTGACACGCTAGCAGAAGATTTGCTAGCAATATAGGCTGCCAATGACTCAGAGGTGGTGTCAGACGAAAGTCTTGACACAAAACTTGCCTACGAGGGGCAACAACAGTTAAAGTAGGATGTCGCGTGCCAAACGAAGGTGGAGTTGCAATTTGAACACTGCAAGGTTTACGCCTGGCCCCTGGCCATGTTACTCCGATGTTAGTAGAGACAGCGTAATGCAAAACGTGCTAGTGCAAGTGTTTTATTCTGAACGGATTACATAGGTTAGAACTTAAATATATATTCCCTCAGAATCTTACCGCAGTCTTCCCTCCTACGGCCTTCTAACTCACGACAATAATGAGCTGAACATTTAAGTAATGGCGGCAACAAGCCAAATACAATGTGCCCGTACATTCAGATGGCAAAAATACATACTTTCAGAATATACTTAGTAATAAACAATCGATAACTTAATTCGTCCCGCAACATCCCCGCCCCTGTGAAGGCCCTGCTTCACTCACATCCAATATGGCTAGTTTAGCCACGGGACGAGTCATCAGTCGCACTTGATTGCCGTCCGCCACGCGTACTCTGGCGCGTCGAGGTACTCCATCTGGTCCAGGGTAGAGCTCCTCCACTATGCCCCTTCGCCACTGCCTGCGTGGCACGTTTGGGTCGCATATAAACAGCACATCACCATGGCGTATCGGCTCAATGCGCGCACACCATTTCACGCGTCGCACAAGTGGAGGCAGGTACTCCAGGTCCACCGCTTCCAAAAACGGTCTCGTAATAGCCGCGCTATGCGCCACTGCTTCCTTGTGGCGCATCTCTCGTCCGGCTGCTCATGAATAGTGGGTGTGTCAGGCAGATTGGCTACTCCCTTGAGTAGATCGTTCGGTGTTAGGGGGGCTTCCTGGTCCACAGATACTGGCAAGTGGGTAAGCGGGAGCGAATTCACAACATTCTCGGCCTCAATCAGGAAACTCTCCAATACGTGTTGCTTTGGTGCCACCTCCTTTACTGTGTGGCGTAGCACTCTCTTGACACACTGCACCATCCTTTCCCAGGCTCCCCCTTCAGCTGGGTTCGCTGGGCAGTTAAAGATCCATTCAATGCCTCTAGAAGATAGCTCACCCTGAATCTTCTCCGGCTCGAATACATCTATGAGCCTTTTGGCTTCTCTGTTGGCCCCAACAAAGTTCTTTCCGTTGTCACTGCGCAGCCTCAGTACAGGCCCGCGACGGCAAAGAAAGTTCCTGATCACGATTATGCAGGAATCAGTTGACAGGTCATGTGCCAACTCCAAATGTATGGCCCTTGTTGTCAGACACGTAAACAAGGCAACCCATCTCTTTTCCTTTCGACGTCCGATCGTCACAAGAAGTGGTCCAAAGTAGTCCAGACCCGTAAACTTAAATGGCCATCCATTGGCCTCCAGTCTGTCCTCTGGCAAAGGACCCATTATAGGTGGCGCTGGCTGCGCTCTATGTAGCTTGCACACACTACATCCAGATATTACTGTACGCAACACTCGACGCAGCTTTGTTATCCAAAATCTGGTCCTGATGTCGCCCATCGTTGCATCCACGTTTTGATGCTTCATTTTCACATGGTAGTGATACACAATCAGTTCCGTCAGTGCGTGCCGGTGTGACAAGATTATTGGCCTTCTCGCACTATGCGGTATACACAGTGCGGCATCGATCCTGCCATACGCACGCAAGACTCCATTGTCATCCAAGTAGGGCGCCAGCCCTCTTATGTCGCTTCGATGACCGACTGATTCTTCATTGTACGAGGCTCGAACCTCGTCAGGGAACGCTTCGCATTGCGCTCGCCGTATCAGCAAGTTCTCAGCGTCCTCACATTCGTACGGTGAGGCCGAATCTCTCAAGCTCAGTCCTCTGTCCACGGCACCAGCGCGTGAACCTTAGAACCCAAGCCGTCGTCCTCACCAGCCGACTGTAGCTAGAGAATCTCTGAAATGAAATGAAAAAGTTATTTGCTGCAACTAAGGCAAATTCACTCGGCATCTCTTCTTCATCATCGCAGGATGAGTGTTCCGTGCCCGGTTCGGGCTGCGGCCAGCTGCTTTCCGGCTGCCGCAAAAATGTTGGCCCGTCTAACCATCGTGACCGTTGGCTGAGGTCTACGTGGCAATGCGGCCTCGTTGCGTCGTCTGCTGCATTTTCAGCAGTAGGTACCCACCTCCATTCTCTCTCCAATCTCATCGATTTCCGACGAACTGCTTATATCGACGGTGGGTGCTGCCTATCCAACGCAGCACTGTTTTGGAGTCAGTCCATAGTATAGCATCGCTGATCGCTTACTGGCTCTTTTTGACAGTGTCCATCAGCCTCGTTCCTAACACAGCTGCTTGCAATTCCAGTCGTGGAATTGACATCGTTTTCATTGGGGCACACTTCGTCTTGGCACATACGAAGCATACTCGCACGTCGTTGTTGTCGTAGGTGACCCTTAAGTAAGCCACAGCTGCGAATGCTGACTGGCTAGCGTCGACAAAAACGTGCAGTTGTATTGCCCGCACGGGTATTGGGCCAAAGTAATGGCGCGAGCTTCGAAATCCTTCCACATTGTTCATATCCTGAAGCCATTTACTAAAGGCGCGGGCGATCTCATCTGGTAAGGGTTCATCCCATTGCCATTTCGTCGCCAGATCTCACGCATAAGTAACTTTCCAGTTATCATGAGACAGCTAAGAAATCCCAAAGGATCAAATGTTGACATGATCAAGCTCAAGAATTCCCTCTTCGTAGGTACTCGCTCCAAATTTAGCACACATCGGGGTACTTTGTGGTACTTCATGTTGAATTTGAAATCGTCCGTGGCTGGCTGCCAACACATCCCAGAATCTTTCTTCAGCTTCGCCCCATCCGATGCTCCTAGCACCCCATGTTGGCCCAGGGCGTCAGCTACAGTTGGCGAACTGGAAGTAAACTGGCACAATTCAAATCCAGCATTTGCATGTATTTCTCTTATTATTGTTGATATGGCGATGGCGTCGCCTTCACTATCAAAACTATCCACATAGTCGTCCACATAGTGACATTCAAGAATAGCTTTAACCGCGCGAGGATCTGAATCCTCATACTGCAGGGCATTCAAGGTCTTCACATAGTGCGCGGCACTTGGCGAGCATGCTGCTCCAAACGTCATTACCCTCATCTCATAAACATCAGGCTCCCGGCGATCATCGCCACAAGAATCGCTGGGCGCATCTATCCTGCGGTCGAATCAACACTTGATGGAACATCTCTCTGATGTCTCCACAAACGCCAACGGCACCTTCCCGGAAATGGAAGAGAACAGCCGGCAGCGACTTGTAGTGCTGCGGCCCCTTGGATAATGCCGAATTCAATGAAATGTCACCGACCTTTGCTGCCGCGTCGAACACCAGTCTTATCTTACCGGGCTTATTTGGATTTTCAACTCCAAAGTGCGGCAGATACCAAAGTTTGTCGCTGTTGGCTAAAGCGACCTCATGATGCTTCAATCGTCGAGCATATCCTTTATGAACATAATCGTCCATAATTTTCATATAGGCTCGTTTAAACTGATCGTTACGCTTCATCTTTCTCTCAATGTTGACCAATCTTTTGTATGCCATATCGTAGCTTCGTGGCAACTCAACATTATCACGGTTCCATAATAAACCTGTCTGGTAACGTTCCCCTATTTTCACCGTGGTGTCTTCGAGTATCTTCTGTGCTCGTGCATCGTCGCTGGCTGCGACTGGTGACGTAAGCTTCACACCAAAGTTCTCGATATCAAAATAGTCATTTACCATCTTTTGGATTGCATCCTCCTGCGACACTGCTAGGAGGCATGACTTTGTTGACGTTGCCGTCGGTTGACCTCTTACCGGCCCAAAAACCGCCCATCCAAGTTCGGTGGCTGCGGCATATGGTCCCTGTGGTGCAAACCTTCTTGTTTGCATTGGCAGTCCAAGATGCGCATGGTCAAGTCCAATCAGAAGTTTTGGTACCGCCCCGCGATACGGTTTCATTGGAAGTCGTGCACCGTTGTCCAACATTTGGACGTCACGTCGATGCAGACTTTGCTTTGGAAGCGTCACTTCGCATGCACATCGTTTGGTTGCCGCTCCACTAATTTCCATGCTTACCACTGTGGTCGGCTCTCTGGTTGCTCTTCCACCAAACCACTGTATATTTAGTTGCCTGCGTTCCCCTTTTACATCTAGGTCCGCAGTAGCTCGTCGTCGATCATAGTTACGGACGAGCCCTCGTCGAGGAGCGCATACGTATGATCGCTTATTGGCCCCGTGCAATGTCACTGGCAATATGCGGAATAGTGGCGTTCTCCATCCGAATCGACACAACTTAAGTTCCTTTGTTGCGTCAATTGAGCATCCACTGGCTGCGGTGCCCTTGTGTGCGGATCCGCTGGCTGCGGCATCCGTCCAGTATTCATCACTCTATCACCTGCTGGCTGCGGTGCATTGTGACAGATAGCATCATGATCATGTAAAAGGCGATGATGCCTCTTCCGGCATCCATTGACTTGACATTCGTTGGCCCTTATGCAGACTCTTGCCATGTGGCCATCTCGTAGGCACGAGAAACAAAGCCGGTGCCTTTTACAAACGTCACCTTTTTAGCGGAGAGGCGTAACCGTTGCACTCCATTACAGTTGGACACTGTTTGGTGCGACCTCGGTGTCGCCCTTCATTATTCTGGTCAATGCTGGCATGCAGCACTCTACGCTTCTGCTCCTTACTATCGACGTCCACAATCGTACATACCACATTGGCGTAGTCCGTTAACCACGCGCTAAATGTACGACAGTCGGGAAAGGCCTAATCGTAGCTGCATGTCTGGCCCACTCCACCCTCTTGCTTGGTGGTAGCTTAGCGACCAAATCCTCCATCAGTGTAGGATTCGCTAAATGCTGTTCTCCGTTAGCTGATTGTAGAAAGGCGGCAAGGTTACTCACTCGTGTAGCAAATGGCACGATTTTCGCTATGCTGTGCTCCTGAATTAGCTGCACCTCTCGAATACTAATTAGCTGGCTGCGTATTAGTTGTTCTGGGCGGCCATATCTGAAACGTAATTGTTCCATCACGTTGTTCACATTCCTGGGATGTATGAGCAACGACTTCACAGTATCACGTGCTTCGCCTTTGAGTGCCTTCAACAATCGCTGGTTATTCTCCAGATTCGTACAGTTGTACGCCAAAGTTGTTTCCGTAAACGCGCAGAAGAATATAGGCCAATCCTCAGGTTGGCCTCCAAACTCGGGTAGATCTGGTAATTTGCGTAGCAGGCATACATCGTTCCTGGGGGTCGCCCATGCGAAGTTCCCAGTTGCCTGCGTTGGCTCCAAAATGATCACTGGTTGGTTCTCTTGTGCCGGCGTGTAGCTGAGCGTTGGCTGCGCAATGCCTGCAGAACAATATGGCGTCGAGCGGCTTGATGTTGTAGAACAGTTATCCATAACTGTAGCTCGTTCTACCGTTTGCAACTGTGGTCCCAAATTTCCACTCAATGAAGTAGGCAATGCCTCACTCAAAGATGGCGATCTGCTCAAAATGGCAGTTCCACTCAAATATTGCAGTTTCACTCAAACTTACACTTGAATTTGGGACTCCACTCATAATTGCAGTTTCACTCAAACTTCCACTCGACGATGGCTCTCCACTCAAAAATGGCGGCAGGTTAGCTGTACCACCCACGCCAGCATCACTCAATTTAACGGGATCAGTAACTGTACTCACATGTGCTTGACCAGTTTTTGACCTCTGCAACTCGTGCTCTAGCGCAGCGACTCTCTTTATCAAATCCATGACTTGAGCACTTGAGAGTTGCGTGCTTGGGCTTGGCGCTCCTGTCAATATGCTGGCTCGTGCACTCACTCCTGCGGCCACAGTGCCGGCAGGTTGTACACTTGTGCCCACATCCACGGTGCTGGGGCTTTGTGGTGCGCTCACAGCGGGAACTTGCATTTGTGATACAGTGCTCATCATTCTAATTGTCCGCTTCGGCTGCGCCTCACTCGCCGTGGTAGTTATCTCCTGGCCATCATTCAGGCGTGGGCTTTTCCTGGGAGACCGTTGTGTCATCCTGTTCAGCTCGGAGATGACTTCTACTATATTTTACGCTGGCTGCGTACCAATGGTAACTCTATAACTGGGGTGGAGGCCCTGCCTGTGCTGTTTCTATCTGCACGCACTGTAACTCCAAAGTTACACCACGTCTTGTCTCCAGTGCAAGTCGCCCTTGCAGTTTCTTACAATAAGAACTGCGAATAAAAGATCATGTCGCATGCCAAACGAAGGTGGAGTTGCAATTTGAACACTGCAAGGTTTACGCCTGGCCCCTGGCCATGTTACTCCGATGTTAATAGAGACAGCGTAATGCGAAACGTGCTAGTGCAAGTGTTTTATTCTGAACGGATTATATAGGTTAGAACTAAAATATATATTCCCTCAGAATCTTACCGCAGTCTTCCCTCCTACGGCCTTCTAACTCACGACAATAATGAGCTTAACATTTAAGTGATGGCGGCAAGAAGCCAAATACAATGTGCCCGTACATTCACAGGGCAAAAATACATACTTTCAGAAAATACTAAATACTAAACAATCGATAACTTAATTCGTCCCGCAACATAGGAGCTGATGGGGCTGCAGGTAAAACAGGATTTGGTGGGGCCAAAGAGGCACCATGATTGTTTTTAACAATCTGGGCCAGATTGCGCGCAGGTCTACCTTTGCGGCCAGGAGCTGAGGGGGCTGAGGCAGTTTGGCCAACTGGGACAGGTTCAGGTACGGGGACTAATGCGACTATTACAGGGGATTAAACAGGGGTAATATTTGGGCAGTCGCTCGGAGAAGGCGATAATGACAATATTGGAGATAAATCCAAGTTGCTTGTCAGGGACAAAAGAGGCATAGGTGCCAGGACAGATGGAGAGGGCAACTGCAAAAATTGGGGCTCCAACCGGCGATTGGTTGGGAGACTCGAATTTTTATTTGCTAAGCAACTCAAAACTCGAGTCAAAACTACTCGAGAGCTACTTAGCCACGTTATTTAGTTTTAAGAATTAATTTCTTACAGAATTATACATTCTGGAGAAATCAATTTGCTTGTCGATGCATTCTGGGCACGACCAACGCAAGCCGCCGCAGCCCTTCTTGGAAATTGCAGCGATCTTGTCGCAATCACGCCCAGTGAGACCTGCACATTTAGCATGCATTATATTCTCACACAGCCAGCAATTAACAAATTGCGGCAATGCAGAATCATCAGCCTGCTTGAACGTGCAAGGTTTCTTACGGCACGACATAATTTCTACCAGCGATTTAAGATAAGCAGAAGTTGCGAGAGCGCAGAGCAAAACGAAACACGGTGTACAAAAATAGAGCAAGTAAACGCTCAAGAAAATAACTATTCGTACACAAACAAATTGTTTGGAGCAAAAAGCAACAGCAAAAATTTGCGAGAGCGCGATGCACAAGCAGAAATATGCAGCAGCGAACACACGCACAAACAAGTGTATGCACAGGGGAGCACCAAAGCAAAATAATCAAAACAGGCAATAACAACAATACGGAACTGACGC